CAAAAACGATTAAGGCAGCTCTCAGCATCGCTGGCGCTCACACAGAAGCACTCGGAGATTCTGGAATGATAGCCCAGAAGGCTGCTCTTTCTTTTATAAATAGACCTCACACTCTATAGGTGGGTCCAATTGTAATGTGAGGCTTGCCTGATTTTATAGAGACTTGCCAAGAAGTCACAATCCTAGGAAAAAAAAGTCAATGAATTCTTTCTGTAAAAAATCCCATACCTTCCCTACTCATCTCTACAAAGTCTAGTTTTAAGAAGTCATCATTTCCTCTAAAAGCATTTATCTTCTAGGAATCAGAAACGAGCTCTTGTGTGAGAAATATTCACATTTCTTCCCTGACATACTCATACCCAAAATAGCAAGGGAAAGAGGATAACGTATAAAAGGAAAACTACAACCAACAAAGAGTTAAGAGAGAAGCTGCATCTCAGGAACAGAATCAAAAAGGTGAATGCAAGAGAATGGAATTCCAGGCCGTGGGCATCCAGGAATAGCACATTCCAGTGGGTGCTCCCAGATGCAGCTGTCGGACATGATGATGGAGACAAGATGGAGAAACAGACCAGTAGCCATGAGAGAAACCCAACCCATGCTCCTTGGGAAGCTATCACCGAGGGGAAAGGCAAAGTCACAAGGACAAAATCCTAGACCAATCAGAAAAATCGGTAAGGTGGGGACTCTTTCCTCCCAGATTCCTGTTCCTGATGCTTCTGACAGCAGCAAAGATGATTCTGATTACCAAGTGAGCCACCCATTCCTATGCCCTCCCCATTCGCTAAAAGTATCATCTGTAGGTTTTAACTAACATTGGACTTTTTTATAAGTACATCGTAATGAATATATTCTGTACCATTATCATGAACTTTATGCTTTCTCTTTCCTAAGCAGATCAAATGCTTCATCAATGATATAAAAACTCACTCTCCATGTATTCATACTGGGCCTATATTCACATGTCATTGTCTTCTGTTTTTTGTTTGTTTTGTTTTGTTTTGTTTTTTTGTTTGAGACAGTCTAAACTCACAGGAACTTGGTGATCCTCCTGCCTCAGCCTCCCAAGTGGCTGGAGTACAGCTAAATGCCACCATATTGGATTCTTCAGTCTTTTGGTAATAATTAAAATGTATATTTACGTCTACTTTGTTATGAGGGAGATCTGATGTAGCTAATTAAAATGCATATAATCAAAAAGTGAAGAATTAGATTTTGGGGCGGGGGATTTAGCTCAGTGGGTAAGTGTCTGCCTGCCAAGTGCAAAGTCATGAGTTTAACTCCTGGTACCACCACCAAAAAAAAAAAAAAAAAAAAAGGAAAAAAAAAGAATTAAATAGATTTTTAAAAATCAAGAACAAGTAGAAATACTGAAAAGTGAAATAACCACAGTTTGCATGAGCACAGCTGTATACAGTTTATACGAAACTCATATATGCTGATCATTTCACTTTGGTTACCATAGTGTCTCAGGAATCCATGTAACAGTCCTATCCCTAGTTTACAGATAAGTTAGAACTAAATATGGATCTTCCAAGGGCTTGAACTCAGGTTTCCTTACCACCTGTGATATCTTTCCTGCAGATCAACAGCTATCGTATATATCTGGATCAATCCCTTCAGCTCTGAACCCCAATTTTTTCTGTAGTAGAACATGGGTGAACTAGAGCTCTCCAGGATCCTTTCATCTCTCATCACTGTACTGATTGGAATCTGTCACTTTGCAAGCTATTGAGTTGTATCTGTGTCGGCTCTTATACTTTTAATCTAAAAGTTTCTTTCCAGTACAACTACAGTGGGACCTCGGTTCATGAACTTAATCCTTACCAGGATTTGGGTCCCAAACTGAGCTAGACAGGAAGTGAACCAAATTCAATGGTTAGTTTCAATGTTGAGCTTATGGAGAAATTTGTTTCAGTTTTCATCCAATTCAGCTTGAGACAGAATCATGGAGTTAAATTCATGAACCAAGGAATGATGGTAATTTTCTGTAAGTCAAGCTTTTTTTTTTTTTAACATTTGGTTGTAAAATTAATCCAGACTCTAAAATATCAGCTTTTGAGGTGGCAGGTCACATGGTGGAGATCCTATATCCAAAGTGTTAGGATTTCTTTTCTATGTTATGTTCACACCGCACAAGTGCCTAAATGTGCTTTAGTAATAATCAGTCATAGAAAATTAGTATGAAGATTTAAAAAGTATTGTAATTTCAAAGTATCTAGGAATCCAGCATATTTTAAATATTGATAGCTGAGGCTGCATATTTCAAGAAAGAATTAGGGCTCTATTGTCAGATTATATGAAGTAACCATCCATCAGCACTGCTCTAGAAATTTCTGCTTATTTCTGACCCCACAGATAAAGAAATCAGAAGTGAACCCAAAAAGATCACCAACAGGAAACAAAGGGCTTAGGTAGCAATCCAGGCCCTAAAGAACTAAAGGAGAACCAACCCCACAGTTAAGGTCCCTGGTGGATTTGGAGAACACAGCACACACATTCTGGACATTCTCCTAGGGTCTCGGCTCACAGAGGGCACCTGAAAGGCAGTTTCCACAGCTTTGATTTTTTCAGACCCAGTGTTAACCAAATAGTGCTGACACACACTTCAGGGTCAGACAGGCACGGATCAAACTCTGGCTCTTCTACTGGTCACTCTGATTTTGGGTAAATCAGCCTTCTGAAGCTCAATAACCTCACCTGTAAAAGAATCAACACCACTTGCCTCTTGGGTAGACTCAGTGAATTACAGATTTTATTACTGATGTTACTGTTAACCAAAAAGAATGACTATAAACCACAGTAAGACAGCAGGACCTACTGCTGCAAAAGAACTTGTTATATGAGACAGTGCCACTGCCTAGGGAATGCTACGACACCTAGGTTCTGGGAAAACAAACATACATAAAAAGATGGCTCAGTGTCTCTTCTGGGCTCTAACTATTGGTACCTCTCTCCAGCCTTTTATGTTCTAAAGAAGATGCTAAACATCAAAACTGAAGGTCCTCACCCCAGATCTAAAAGTGTTTAGCCAAGATCATTCCTCCCACCCTGGGAGCGGGTATGGGTTGTCTGAGTCAAGCTTCTTCCAGCAGATGCACCCTCGAGGGCTTTAGCTGCCTAGTACCAGGCAATGGTGCTGCTCAGAGCCTGTCTTCCCAGGTTGTCTAGGTTGGGAGGTGAATAGCAGACCTTGGAGAGGGATCACCAAGGCAATCCAATCCCCACAGTCACTCCTTTTCCAGGCTTCTCAGGAAATGCAAAAAGGACGGTCAAGCACCATCTGCCATATTGAAAGGTTTTAACAAGAAAACAACAGTCAGTTTAAAAGATGTCTGACCTTGCTGAAGATTTCACTTTGAGAGGGACTTCTTTCACAGAAATAAGAAGATTTTTCTTTCTCAACCTTCACTACCTACTCCAACACGTTTGCAATTAGACCCTTCCCTTAATTTACTCTCAAAGCTTGGAAGCAGATAGAAAACTAGGACACTCCAACAGCAGTCTCTCATTCCCATAATCTGCAGGATGAGCTCCTGTATTACTCTTCTATTTTAGATGTTTCTTTCTCTTTCCAGAAGAGCTTCCAATAGAAACCAACCTAAAACCTGCCCCAAACCATGAAATCCAACTGTGCTAGGAAAGGCCCAAAAGAATCCACCTTAAAATTCCATTAATCATCAAATTTCCTTTATACCTAAAGGAATTCTAATACCAACGAATTCTAATACCAATTCTAATAGCCAATTCTAATACCAACGAATCTGCTTAAAACCCCCTTCAAAAAAGTATCATTCCAAAAGTGTTTTACTGTTTCATTAGGGGATCAGGGATTTAGTTGGTGGCACAGCACCTGCATGGCAAGTATGAAGTCCTGAGTTCAATTTCTGGCACCATCCCCCCAAAAATTAAACAGACAGAAAATCAGAAATTTAGTGCCTCAAAGGATTAGTCCCTGAGGACAGCAAGAGAATCCATCATGTGGGATGACTTTGCGAAAACAAAGAAAGAAGTTCAAAGACTTACACTAATTCCCAAACACGTATATTACATTGTGTCAGAATCAAATCTCAGCTGAAAATTCTGGAGCATAGAAACTACATCCCAATGAGAACAGTCTGCACAGGATCAGAACATCTTGGCTAGAAAGGGGCTTGGCAGCATCTGGTCCAACCTCACCCATACATGAATTCCCAGAACACACATATGCATGGCCAGCTAGCTTCTCAATGCTTTTGGAATCTTGAATGTGCTAATACACATGTGCTAATACCCTGAATCTGCTAATACACTGGTGTAGTGTAAGTGGCTATACCTGATCTCTCAATTTCACAACAGTTTTAGATAAGCTCTTTTCCTGAGAAAGCAAAATGTTTGATTTTACTCCAAATATTAAAAGCGCTGGCTTGCACACTATTTCAACAATATATAGTTAAGCATATGAAAGACTCACCTCCATTCCTAGCACAAAACACATCCCAAGTCTGATCAGGAGGACAGTGCCCTAATCCATTTACTTACCTCTCCTCTATACAAACATACAGATTACAACACTTTTCTTTCCTAGAGTGCAAATTTACAAGGGAGATTACTGCCACCCAGGAGGCTACATCTGGGATTTTCTAAGCTGCTCAATGGCAAACAAGGCCAGAAGAGGAGGTGCATCAACCATCAAGCTACTTGTGCACCTAATTCTGGCCAACTGGCTATTTATGCAACAGCATATGAGAAAAAAAAATTTGAAAATTAACCCAAATGCATATACTTTTTTTTATAATTCCTCGTAGCCAGCCTCTGGGATTAAGTGGTATTATGAGCAGAGTGAAAAATTCTTTACGCAATCTGTATACTGCACTTATATGTGCTGAATGGGCATGCACATGGTACATGTCTGTAAACATGTGTCTCTGTGACAATGTATGCTTTTGCACATACCTGTATGTGCTGTTTACACTTATGTTTTTCCACATATTCAGTTAACTCTCTGAGTAGGATCATACCTGCCACTGGTTTCCTGCCTGACCAGGCACATAGGGTGCCGGAAGGCTCCGAAGGCTGTTCTTCACAGGGGATCCCCCAAGGGAACTTCCCACGTCCCCAGCAGAGGAATCAGCAGCCAAGGCCATGGAGTACTGCGGGTAGTTGTACAGATTGTTGTAGTAGGGAAACAGCGGCGGCTGGTAAAAGCTGCTGTAGTAAGTGGAATCCGCAACCAGATCAGGTGTGTTCTCCACGTGCCCTCTGCTGGTTGCAACAGGAACATCCTGGATGACCATACGCCCCTCTAAAAAGGAAAACAAAAAAGCAGCATTTAGTAAGGGATCACAAACCCTTCCCTCTGAACCTTGGCAACGCCTTACACTCCTGCTCAGATCTGCAGAGCAAACTGTTAGGCAGCGGGAAAATCCACTTGCTGCTTCTACAGGCAAAATACAGGAATTTTCTAAGGCTGGCACAGTTTTGGCAGCACAGCTGACAGACCTTTGCTGACAGACCTTTTCATTAAGAATACCAAACCATTTTAGAGAAAAATTTAATGTAAAGGCTGACAATATAACCTCAAGCCAGAAATTCCCACTCAAATCTCAAGAAACTAGATTATCAAATCTAGTAAACCTGCTGGCCTGTTCTTATGACAAAATGAACTGATTTAAATGAAGTAAATAAATACCCCAGCATCCTAACTAATATGATGGAAAGTCAAAACAAGAGGCTAAGAGTTTAAACATGTTTCCTTTACTCCTTTCCATGGTCAACTGTGTCCTTTAAAAGTCTGGGCAATGGCATGCTCAGAGTTTGACAAACCTCCTAAAAGGCGGTGAGAAACTATTTCAGACTCTATGCAACATTCAGTCAATGTTAGAGTAGTTATGCTGCAGTAAAACTTTATTCACATAAATAGGAAGAAGTCTGATGTGCTCCAAGACTGTAGTTTGCCACACTTTAGCACAGACTTTAAACTGTGTACTGTCAAATAAATGACAAATTCCTTATCCATCCATTCAAGAGATAGTTATTAAGAAAGGTGTAAGATCTGAGCCGAGTGACCAGAATGGCTGCCAGATGATCACTGTCCTGCACACAGGAAGCATATGGTCTAGGAGTAAATACACATCAGAATTATGGACCCCATCATTACCCAGTATCACAGAAATGTCCATACTATTACAGAAATTCTGAGGCAGGAAAGGTGACGTGTGGCCTGGGAAGGAATTAGAGAACTTCATAGAAAAAAACTGCATTTGAACTGCACTTTAAAAAAAAACGGGAAGCTAATGAAAAATCAGAAAAAAAGAAGAAGGCAGAAAGTGAAGCAAGGGAAGGGGAATGAGACAGGAGAGTCTGGAGTGAGAAGCAGAGCAGCCCGATGGAAGGACTGCGTGAGAACATGCAGAGCTCCCGCCTGAAAGGTTTTTCTGGAACCAGCTGCAGGAAGCCTTCATCCAGCTCTCTGGACTCTCTTTGGGAGAAGTAGGGACCACTGAGAATTTCTGAACTAGGAAGTTACCTCATTGGAGCTGAGGTTTGGGAGGTTTATCAAGCCCAGAGCCAGGGAAACCCAAGTAGTTAAGGTGGAGGCCTCGAAAGACTGCAAATGTCAAAGGGTGCCTGGTTCAGGGACATGTGGGGGCTGAAACCCAACAGACTTCGGGGACATCAGCAATGAACATAAGGGAAATAAGAACAAGAGCCTGGGTATGAGGCGAGGGTTTACTGCGTAACCTAATTGCAGGAGGGTACTCATGTAGAGGGGTGCATGGATGCGAGCATCTTGAAATCTGCGCTTCTGGGAGACACTGAAAGCTGAGCTTCAGGAGTCACTGGCCTCTGGTAGCCGTATGTGGGGACTGAAGGGTGGACAGAGGGTGGAATGGTGGAGAAGGGCATTGTCAGGAGGTCAAACTGGATTCAGAGGGGCCAGTAGCAGTGTCAACTGCTGCTCAGAGATCAAGCAGGCTCAGTCCTGGAAAAAGCTGGTAGATGATTATGTCTTTAGGCGACTTGTAATTCAGCATGGTGGGAGGAGCAGAAGCTGGACTGCCAGAGATCTGGGAATGAGCGAGCAAGGAGGAAACACATGTGATCAGGGAATGGCCTTCTCTGCCACCAAAAGGCAAGACCCAGCAAGAAAGCTCCCCTGCATGTCCCCTGTGCCTAGCACACTGCCAGACAAAGAGGAAAGTATATACTGGAGAGATAAAAATAAATTAATAAATAAGTAAGTAACAGGTTTTCAAGTAGACTGGCATCAGAAACAAATATGCATTAAAAATAGAAGCTCTAGACAGTCATAAAAATCTTGCTATTTTGTTTTTAAAACACAGAGAAGGTTTAAGCATCCCTAGACAAGAAAAGGAGGCTCCTGAGAGAAATTCCCAGCACTATGCATGCCCCAAATAAGGTGCTCAGAAAGCATCCACTGGCTAACTGTGCAGGGGAAACAGAATACACGCCGGAGAAGGTGGAACTCACTGAGCAAGTGCTGGAAGTTTTCTGTGAGGTCTACAATAAAAACATTTGTCAACTGGGTATGGTGGCACACTCCGTGAATCCCCGCACTCTGGGAGGCTGAGGGAGGAGGCTGAGGGAGGAGGACAGCAAATTGAACCCTGGACAATTTAGTGACCTACTGAGAACGTGTCTCACAATAAAAAGGAAAAGCTATAGCAGAAGAATCAAAATTTGAGACCCTAGCTGTGGAAACCTAAGACTTCGAGAAAGTGTCTCAAAATTTAAAAAATAAAATAAAATGAACAGCTCAGTACAAAAGGCCCTGGTTTAATCCCTAGTACCATGCAAATGAGGGGCGGGGGGGGGTAGTAAATAATTCTCACCTTAGAGCCAGCATTCAAGTGGCTTGTCTAAAACAGTACCCAACCCACTTGCCCGGGGTGTCTGTAACGCACTGCCAAGCCACCATTTTCATTCCTCTCCTTTCTTCTCCCCTTCCCACCCTGTGAGATGAGATGGTCCAACTTCATTACTCCACATGCCTGAATTCCAGGGTCCACACAGCACACAGCCATTTTCTCCTCCTAAAATTCCCCACTTGTCCATTCTCTTATTTAAAACACCAATTTGCTATTATCAGTGGGTTTTGATATCAAATTCTTTTGTTTTCAGTGTTACATTTTTATTGTTTACCTGACTACAAAGCAATACACATTTCCCCAAAATGATGATGGTGGGTATTTTAATCAGAAAATGAATGGCATAGCTCTACCACCCAATCGTAAGCATCAGAGATTTATTTTTATGCAATCTCAGATTTGAGAAGGCATGTTCAGATGCTTATTCTTGTTCCTGTAGTAGAAAAAAATGAAGACCCCTTAGGGCTTGCCCTTAAGATACAATGTTCTTTTTTTTTTAATTTAAAAGGAAAAAGAGAAAAAACAAAACAAAACAATGTAAGGGTACAAGTAATACAGAACTACAAAAAAAAAAAAAAAACAGTAAGAAATCACCAGTTAATAGATTACACATTATCATCTTAGAGATAGTTGCTCAAGTCACAGGATCAAAGCATACAAAGTGGACATTCAAACAGTGAGACTGCTAACAGTTGTGTTCAATGATCCAACCAAAGACATTAATATAGTCAAGATACAATGTTCTTAACAAAAAAATAAAATACAGCATCAGGCAAAGAATTCAACTGAAACCAAGGACTCCAGCCTTCAAAGATCAGGGCACAGTACAGGTTCCTGAATTTCTGCAGCATAACCTTGGTCAGAAGCTTTCATCAGGCCTCAGTTTATCAAGCAACAAAATAATGGCAGTAATAACTCTCAAGGTAACAAGAAAACGACTTCAATAAACTGCACAGTAAACCTCAAATGAAATGCTATGTGAGGTCAAAGCAATGATTTATTGTGCTACAGCTGCCTGTAATTAGTTAACAACCCCATCAGTTTTCTACTTACACTACTTTATTTCCACTTTCAAGTTATATTAAGCTTTAAGGAATAGAATGAGATATATGTTAGGAAAGTTGAGTTTCACCCCAGTATTTAGATAATAAAAAATAAAGCCAATGGAATGTGTGAGAGTACATGAGTACAAAAGCATTTTTAAAAGTGAGTTTAAAAAAACAACACTATAATCCACCAACTCTAGTTTGTTTTGTGAGCTAGAGATCTAATCCAGGCCCTTTCAACATGCTACACAGGCGTTCTATCACTGAGCTACATTCTTCAGTCAAATTTTTCTGTTTTGAAGTTCCAAAGTAAAATTCTGGGGCAATATTAAACACAGCATTATGACTCCCAGCTTTTATGTGCACACTATTAATATGTAGAAGTTTCCCAAGGGTGAAATCAACATCCAACAGATTACATGTGCTGCTCCAGTGACTCGATCCTCAAATCAATGGCATCAGCATTGTCCAGGAATTTGTAGAAATGAAAACTGGAGGAGCACTTCAGGCTTCCCATCAGACCAGGTCCAGCACTCTGAGCTTTAACAAGCTCGCAGGGGACATGGGTTCACTCCAAAGGTTAACATCTGCTGGTCTACTCTAAAAGCAACTCTTCATATCCCTAAAAATACGTGACACTGGCGTTCTCCTCACTGTGACAGTCCTACCAAATTAAGACAGTACAAGTGAATTCCACTGTATAAAGAAGAAGCAGAGCTTACATACCAGCCACGTATGCTATGTACACTCCTCCCATATGGTTCTGACTTTTGTGGTATGCATTCGAGTTGTTCTTCATTTATTCTAACCATAAGGACTAAACTCATCCACTCAAGCACTTACTCCATAAAAAATATTTATTACTCACTTACTATTTCCCAGGGCACCCAGTTAGGGACAATCCTGCAAAGTCAAAGGCTCTGGACAACTCAGAGGACCAGGTAATAAGTCATCATTTGTTCGTGGCCCTAAATTGTATTTTTATATTTATATCTAATCCATTCATTAGTTATCACTTACTGACATTCAAAAGTATGTTACATATTATATAAAGCATAATTATTTTAAATGTTTCATTTCTTCTTTAGAATTTGCAATCTATTTGAGAAAGTTAAATATTGACTAAAACCCTTCAAAGCACTAATCTGAATTGCCAAGATGAAAGTATAGGCAGATCTCACCAGATAGTTCTACACAGTGGGGAAAGCAAAGGCATCCATGAGAGATGAGCTACGATAAAGGAGATTTAAAGAGATTATGTAGAAATACTCGAAAAAAGGAGAATCACAGTAACAGAGTGAAGAAAAGAAGGAAATACGTTCCAAAAACAGGAACCAGATGAGCCTGGCTGGAGTGCAGAGGTCACA